CGCCGGGAAGGCGCCGGGAAGGCGCCGGACCCCCCTCCCCGCGCCTTCCCAGCCAGAATTCCGGGCTCACTTGGAGCGGACGTCGGGATCGTCGTGGCCGGAGTGACACATCTCGCTGAAGCGCGACACGAAGAAGTCGTAGCTGCGGTGGTAGGACGGGGTGTCCTCCTCGATGTTGGCAAACTTCACAAACTGGGAACGATGGGACACGGGAATCCATGGAAATCCATGGAAATCCACGGAAATCCGTGGAAAATCCCACCCCCCCCGATCCGGGAATGTCTCTGGCGCTTCCCGACGGATCGGGAATGAGCGGCCGAAGTGGGAACGGCTCGTGCCGAGAGGAGATCCAAACCCGCCCTGGGGGTGATCCCGAACTCTCCGGCCTCCCAGGGATCCCAGAGATCCCAGGGAAGGGAATTTAGGGAAGCAGGGAGGTGTCAGAGATCCCAGAGATCCCAGGGAAAGGAATTTAGGGAAGCAGGGAGGTGTCAGGGATCCCAGAGATCCCAGGGAAGGAAATTTAGGGAAGCAGAAAAGAGTCAAAGATCCCAGAGATCCCAGGGATTCCAGGGAAGGGAATTTAGGGAAGCAGCAAAGAGTCAGTGATCCCAGTGATTCCAGAGATCCCAATGATCCCAGAGAAGGGAATGTAGGGAAGCAGGGAGGTGTCAGGGATCCCAGAGATGCCAGGGAAAGGAATTTAGGGAAGCAGGGAGGTGTCGGTGATCCCGGTGATCACAGGGATCCCAGGGATCCCAGGAAAAGGAATTTAGGGAAGCAGGGAGGTGTCGGTGATCCCAGAGATCCCAGGGAAGGGAATTTCGGGAAGCAGGGAGGTGTCAGGGATCCCAGAGATCCCAGGGAAGGGAATTTAGGGAAGCAGGGAGGTGTCAGGGATCCCAGAGATCCCAGGGAAGGGAATTTAGGGAAGCAGGGAGGTGTCAGGGATCCCAGGGATCCCAGGGATGGAATTTAGGGAAGCAGGGAGGTGTCAGTGATCCCAGGGATCCCAGGGAAGGGAATTTAGGGAAGCAGGGAGGTGTCAGGGATCCCAGAGATCCCAGGGAAAGGAATTTAGGGAAGCAGCAAAGAGTCAGAGGTCCCAGAGATCCCAGGGAAGGGACTTCCGGGAAGCAGCAAAGAGTCAGAGATCCCAGGGATCCTAGAGATCCCAGGGAAGGGAATTCCGGGAAGCAGCAAGGATTCAGTGATCCCAGTGATTCCAGAGATCCCAATGATCCCAGAGAAGGGAATTTAGGGAAGCAGGGAGGTGTCAGCGATCCCAGAGATCCCAGGGAAGGGAATTTAGGGAAGCAGGGAGGTGTCAGGGATGCCAGAGATCCCAGGGAAGGGAATTTAGGGAAGCAGCAAAGAGTCAGAGATCCCAGTGATTCCCAATGATCCCAGGGAAGGGAATTTAGGAAGCAGGGAGGTGTCAGGGACCCCAGAGATCCCAGAGATCCCAGGGAAGGGAATTTGGGGAAGCAGGGAGGTGTCAGGGATCCCAGAGATCCCAGGGAAAGGAATTTAGGGAAGCAGGGAGGTGTCAGAGATCCCAGGGATCCCGGGGAAGGGAATTTAGGGAAGCAGCAAAGAGTCAGAGATCCCAGTGATTCCAGAGATCCCAGGGAAGGGAATTTAGGGAAGCAGAGACGTGTCAGAGATCCCAGGGATCCCAGAGATCTCAGGAAAAGGAATTCTGGGAAGCAGGGAGGTGTCAGGGATCCCAGAGATCCCAGGGAAGGAATTTAGGGAAGTAGGGAGGTGTCAGAGATCCCAGTGATTCCAGAGATCCCAGGGAAAGGAATTTAGGGAAGCAGGGAGGTGTCAGCGATCCCAGAGATCCCAGGGAAGGGAATTTAGGAACCAGGGAGGTGTCAGGGATCCCAGAGATCCCAGGGAAGGGAATTCCGGGAAGCAGGGAGGTGTCGGTGATCCCAGGGGTCCCAGGGCTGGAATTTAGGGAAGCAGCAAAGAGTCAGAGATCCCAGGGATCCCAATGATCCCAGGAAAGGAATTTAGGGAAGCAGGGAGGTGTCAGGGATCCCAGAGATCCCAGGGAAAGGGAATTTAGGGAAGCAGCAAAGA